ATATATATATATATACATATATATACATATATATACATATACATGTTTATGTATAATATATATATATTTATATATATATATATATATATATATATTTATACATATATATACATATATATACATATACATGTTTATGTATATATATATATAAATATATATAATATATATATATATGTTTACATATATATATAATATATATATATATATATATATACATACACATATATATATAAATATATATACATACATATATACATATATATACATACATATATATACATATATATATACATATATATATTATATATATACATATATAACATATACATATACATATACATATATAGATATACATATATATATACATATACATATACATATACATATATATATATATATATATATATATATATATTAATAATATATATATATACATTTTGAATTTTGAAGAGGGAAGTACTCCACTGTGAGAGGTAGAAAAAAATGTAGCTAAAAAATATAGATCTTTATCCTTTTAATAACACCAAAATAAGTATCACAATATTTCAAGAGGTAAGTCTTTAACAGGCCTTGCTAAAAAAAAAAAACTCAGGTTTGCCATTTCTAGGGATGGTCCCTTTGAATAGCATTTACTTTTCTAAATGTTTAAACATGAAAAAAGTAACTTCTGTATATTTAGTAACTAAAAATAAATTACATTGGGGAAATAATTTGAAAAAAATTAACCCAATGCTACTAGAATGGCACTCAGGTACATACCATGCCCACATTAAGTTTATCAAATTGAATGTATACGTAGATGGCTGCATTAATGTTCAGTTGCCAAGGAGTCTATTACTAATCCTAAAGCCATTTCTTTGCGGGTATGCAAACATCAAGAAAATCAAGAAAAGCAATAACTCTTGCAAGTATATCTAAAATATGTTTGAAGCTGAAATAAGAGTCACAAGAAATTTTTGGTTTAAAATGCTGGGATTAACAGCAATGATTCAAATAATTTGTATGGGGATAAACTCTCGTATGGGGTACATTTGTTTGTAAATGTGAATTTAAGAGTAGTATTTTAAATAATGATATAGGAGGATATCACTCATATATTCAAAAAATGATCTATAAAATTAGTATTACCAGTCATTTACCAGTTACAAAGACTGCTCCAAATTGCCAGAGCATTTGGACCAGAGGCAGGTCCAGAGAATTTTCTGGTGGGGGGCACAGGGAGTAACAACAATAAATCTGGGGGGCATGAAAGCCCCGCCTCTGATTTGGATAGTTTCGACAACAGACTTTGACAGAGCTTATTTCTTGTATTTGTTTTGAGTTTCAGATAAAGAAAATCACCTCGGAATTGGATAGTTTCGACAACTGACTTTGACAAAGCTTATTTCTTGAATTTGTTTTGAATTTCAGATAACAAAGAAAATCACACAAATTAGGCTCAGAGTCAAGGAAAATGTACAACAAAAGAGAAAGATCTTCCCTGATTGTCATGACGTTGGTTTGTTTACATTCACAAAGGCAAGGTTCAGGCAGCAAGAGGATGTTTTTGGGATTGTTGCTGTTCTCTAGTTAAAGCATGATCTTCTGTGACTGCTGAAGGAAAGGCCACAGCCTATCTCACCTGTTTCTTCTTTTACTTGATTTTCCAAAATATTCTATTTCATTCTATAATCTTATTTGCATCGTTAATAGCACTGTAATTATCATAATAATGTTGACAATAGAAAAGAAAAGAAAAGAAAAGAGAAAAACAAGCAAACTCAAGGAAGGGGAGAAATCAGGTGGCTGGGCACTTGTGGAGCCATCTATGAGTAGATACAATTTACAAGATAATAATACAGTGAACATTACATTTTTCTAACAGTATTGGGTTAAGCCAATTAATTAGTATTGCTAATAATGACAATTTGCCAAGCTAAGTTGACTTCTGCAATATGTACATATATATGTATATATATACATAAATACATATGTAAATACATGTTGTAGCATCACTTTGTTTAGGTAGCTTATTGCTCCAAATTCCCCCCCCACCCCCGCCTTTTTTTTTGGAGTCAAGTGTATTTACTTGGTTAAGTATTCATCAGATTGAATGGTGCATTGATTATATTATCGTATTATTTGGTTCTTCTTCCCTAATGTGATTGTTGATATTGGTTCTCTACAGTTACTATGGACAATCTGCTACCTTGCACCAATTTTCATTTGCTATCCTCCATTAACCCAATGTCGACGGGAAAATAGTGTGTTCCCTTGGGCAATCTTGGTTAAATGTTTCTGCACATAAATGGCTCTGCCAATGCTTACCCACAAAGGAGTCAATTATTAGATCTTGCGACCTCACTTTTCCTTGAAAATGCAGGAAAACGCTTTATTTTACTAATGCTATCAATATTGACTTATTTTTGTTATAAACATCATAATCACTATATTGTTACAGACATTACTAACAGCAGTAATAATATTAGAAAATATCATTGAAAATCAAGGAAAAGGGTAAACAGGTGAGACAGGTAGTTCGCATAATTGACTCATTGGTGACTTAGTACTTGCAGAGCCATCTATATGTAAGAACAATTACTAAATTCAATAGACACAGTGGGCAATGACATGTACATAAGTAGTCTAAAATCTATTATAGAGTTTAGAATAGCAAATATTTAAACAAAATGAAATTAGATATTATCAAATATAGAGCTACTACAAGCTGCTGTATAATGTTGACTACTTTATTCTAATTAGATTTTATGAAAATAACATTCAAGATCAAATAAGAATTCTGAGTTTTGATATATCAAAGTATGTTTTTGCTTTAAATACTTACATAACTCAACGATTGTTTCTTCACCAATGGCACTGTAGGATCATACTGAAACAATAGAATCATTAGAAAGTCCACAACCATACACACCTGGGAAAACAAAAAAGAGTATATCATAATTTTAATAAAGATATTCTTTTGTTTGAAGTCTTGGACATCATAAAAAAATAAAACAAAAGATGCACAGACATTTAAATATTACCTTATGAATTACAACTGGTTTCCTGAAGAAATACACTTCATCAGAAGTTACAAGTGAAGATAGTTTGAACTTGCGGAGTCCACTCTGCAGGGCACTAACGCGCTGATTCATCTCATCCAAAAAGTTGTCACAGATGTATATGTCACTCTCACGTATCTCTGTTGGCCTGGCTGTTAAATAAATCAAAGACAAAATGGACGATTTCCTTTCTTATCCTTACCATGGGTTTATATAACTATAACAAAACATAAAATATAATTGCAATTTCTGCATATTAAATAATGGTTTTGTGGGTAATAGTTCTGCTTATATTACAAATTCAACCTAATTACAATTAATTTTGCAAAGTATTGCTTTTTAAAGCAAAACAACAAGAGATGAAAAATTCCTCTTTTTTTGTATATCTACACAGGAGCTGATGAAAAGTACATTAAGGGAAAGTTAAGTGATTAGTGTGTGAAAACCTCTTTTATGCTCTTCTACAGTTGTGAATTTTGAAATCTTAAAAACAAAGTATATTCTGAAGAGTATTTCTCTCACTGAAGGAAAACTGTGGTACTAACAAACATGAGTTAAGAAAAAAAAAAAAAAAAAAAAAT